AGCCACCTGCTCTCCCGACTGAAAAAGAAGAGTTGAGAGGATACAAAGAGTGGAGCAAGGATCTGAACAGACATTTATAAACAGACCCAGCAGAGAGAGACACTGAAAGAGACGCCAGGAGTAATTCCTGAATGCAGAACCAGGAGTAACCCCTGAGCATCACGGGGTATGACCCGAACACACACAGACACACACACACGCACACAGTGTGGAGGACTTGGGGCTTAGTGGAGACAGAGAGGAATACTTTAGGACAGTGTGACAGAGCTGGGGGCTGGGAATGGGGACCCCAAGAGCCTTTGACTGGCTTTGAGCACTTAGTTCAGAAGTTCCGTGAAGCACATGGCCCTGGGCTTGAGGGCAGGGCGGGCCGTGATGTCACTGAGGGGCGGGGATTTGTCTCCCTCTTGGAATCTACCTGGAGTCCATTCACCTGCTGGGAACTTCCTCCATTCGCCTATCTGTGCCTTCAGTGCCTTCAGGGCTCTGGCAGCACTGCATCAGAAGCACAGGCCATCGAAATGGGAACAAGAGTTCTGCTCTCATCTGCCCAGTGCCCGAGAGTTGGGGTCTGAAGGCAGCATTCCCCTGATTCCAGGAGACTGCATGGCCTGTTCTCGGAAGGCAAGGCTGTGCCACTTAGCCCTTCGCAGGGCCGGTCGGGGGTACACCAGATCTTGCACCCAAGCCTTGAGGAATCCCAAAATGTCCAACGGAGGTCCCGGTTGGCCCCAACTCCAAGCCTAAGTGGTAGCAGGCTCCAGTGTCAAGGCTCTGTTCTTCTACCCTGACTTTGGGACAAGGATGAATCACCCCACAACATATTTCTCAGAAAGTGCCCCATCATTAAGGGAGGTGAGACTTGTGACAGAACAATGAGAGCTCTCAGCAACGAGGGTGGCCTGGAGCCAACACCCATCAGACGCTGCACGTCTGAAACTGGCCCACAGTGAGTCGCAGGGTCAGGCAGCACTCATCTTTGTCCAGGTGATGGAACGAAAGCATTCTGGAATCACTTCCAGCCTGGAATACAGACTCTTGAAAGGTCTGGAGAATCTACAACATCTGAAGTTCTGGGGTTTTGGATTCTCTGGACATTCGTGTTCCCATTTGCTCTTCAACTCGTGATTTCAAGAATATTCAAGGACCTAGATGTTCAGAATGCATCCCCAGATTATCTTATCATATTGAAATATATATATATATATAGCGTTGGACTATAACATAAGAGCACATGGAAAATTTGGAAAGCACAGACTTCTCACTCTGAAACAACCTACTAGACCTCAGCATCTAGAATCAAGGGGGCAGAGCTTTCTGTGCATGTGTCCAAGCTGGATTCAATTCCCTGTACCCCATATGATTCCCCAATCATATGGGGTACAATCATTCCTCCAGGAGTGATTCCTGTGTGCAGAGCCAGGAGAGCTAGGGATGCCACCTGGCACTCAGAACCTTGATCAGATCAGAAGCCACTCTCCAGAACACAGAATCAGGACCCTACATCGAGAACCCTCTTCCAGACACTGACATGTGACTTACCCCAGTTTATATGCTCTGGACCCCAGATTCTGCATTTTTATCGCCTCCAATACTTGCTTTTACCATTGTACCTCTCTCAGGATGACAAGAAGATAATCCTCAGAGACAAAAGCTTCAAATGGGGCCTGAGATCTGGGGAAGGGATTAAGAGTTTGCCTTGCATGTGACCAACCCCAGTTCAATCCTTGCACCACTTGGTTCCCCAAATACCATCAGGACTGACCCCAAGCACAGAGCGGGAGGAGAACCCCTGAGCAACACAAGGTGTAGTTCCCCAAAGAAGCTTCAACCTAATAAATGCAGAAATGCTCATTATCCATTGTCCCCCGCTCCACCAACCACCTCAGCGTCCAGCCTGTAAAACCCAACACCCAACCTGCCCTTACCAACCCCTTCACTGGGGAAGGGGGGGGGCGGGAGTTATAAATGAGGGTATCTGGGTGCTTGCCCCCTTCTCTGTCATTCACACCGTCTTCGATGCTGCTGGGGGATCTGAAGCAGGTGACACCTTTGAGCAAGGGGCAGCAGTGGTGAGTGTCAAGGGCACCTGGGAGCCTGGATGGACCCTTGTGGCCTCCACTGAGGCCCAAATTGGAGCGTGATCCAAGAAAATGTCCCAGGGTCGAAAAAGGGATTTGCACAATCTGGGGGAGGGGGCGGCAGAGTGACTCAGCAGAGGTTTGTCCCAGAGCCAGGAATCACACCAGCTGCTCCCAGGGGTGCAGCTTCGTGCAACATTCGCTTGCCAAGGCAGTGCCAGGCATGCTGCCGGCACTAGGTGAGCATTCTCGGGGCTCTGGACTTTGGTGGAGACGGGGAAGACACAAGGGTCCCCCTTCAGGAGAGTTGGGCGCTGGGCCTTAGAGGGTGCACGGGATTCAGTGTATCCCACACTCTCCAGGATCCCCCAGAGATACACCCTGCTACGGCTGGGTAGGGGAGTGGAAGACCCTCAGCGAGTCCTCTGTCCCAAGGGGTTTGCGGGGTTTCGGGAGCCCAAGGAAGGTGTGTGCTTGACAGGAAGCACAGACCTGGAAGGAGCAAGGCAGCAGTGCTGATGCCCAGGGCAGAAGCTGCACAGGAAACTTGACTTGCCTTTCCAGCAGTTTCTGCCTCTACCATGGACAGTCCCCAGGCACCCCTAGGGGGAATTCTGGAGAGGAGCACAAGGCATGAACCCTGAGAACAACTGAGGGTGCGACCCCCCATAAAAAGAATGAAGCCAGGAGACCAAGACTTGATTTTGGGGGTTCCAGTGAGGCAGAAGGGGGCAGCGTCACTCTGGGTGTAAAAGACCCCAAGAGCTGGCTTAGTTGTGGACATGTTGGGTCCAAGACCCCGGGTGAGACCCTAGCGCTGCCAGGAAAGCAGAGAGAGGCACAGATGGAGAAACAACAGAGTGAGACAAAGAGTCTCTGGGGACAGCAGGAAGAGGCAGAGTCAGGGGCCTAGGGAGGGACAGTGTGTCCGTGGCTGAGCCCCAAAGGCCAGAGAGAGCTGGGGCTTGGCCAGGGGACACAGGACCCCCCGCGCAGGGCGTTGAGGATGAAGGAGTGTTCCAGAAACAAGTGATCCTGGGTGTTGGGGGCTGTCGCCATGCAGGGGTCTGGAATCCAGGAGGAAAAGCATCTGGAGGCTGGGGAGTGAGACGAGGGGGGTCCAGCAGGGGCGGGAGGGGACCCTCATGGGTCCCTGATTCATTCTGTCCTACTCTCTCACCAGAAGTCAGCTGAGCCTTGGTGGTCCCTCCATAATTTCGCTTCTCCTCACTGCCTCCGACCTGCTGGCATCTACAGATGATGAGGGGAGTGGTCAGTGGGACTGGGTGCCCTCCATCGAGCACGACCCCCTTCTACTCCCAACGTCTTCTGTTCTATAGCACCACTAAATGTCTGGTTAGCAGGGGCATCCCCAGGTGCCCTGAGGCTTCTCTCAGTTCTAAATTGGAGTTGTGGGGCTGTCCTGTCCTTGCTGTGTGGCCTTGAGAGAATGGATTCACCTCTCTGGGCATTCCTCTGTCTTACCTTTAAGCCAGCACCTATCTCAGACAATAGTGTCCAGGTCTGTGGGTGAGCCCAGCTCAGGCAGGGTGGGGCTGGGGGGACCTCTTCTAAATGGGATTCGAGGGTGTGCACAGAGTGGGGTTGCCAGATCAAGAGCACCCCAGGAGGCGGGAGAGGCACATCGGGCAGAAATTTCTTATGACGTGCTCTCTGGAGTCCAGATTGCTGAGAGTAAGCTTTCCTGAGCCATGCCCCCCTGAACGCTGGGCTCCATCACCCTCTGCTGGCCTCCCCTTAGCCCTTCTCTGTGCCCACTGCACCCAGCTAGAGCTTCCACATTCCACCTCCTCCCGCTTAGTCGGGCCAGATGCATCCCAAGTGCCCCGCAGCCCCGTCTGCGGCCCCTGCCCTTCCCCTGAGCTAAGGCCCTCCTGTGGAACTCCTCGCCCACCACATCCACATACCTCCCACCACATCACCAATCTATGCTGGACCCTGAGCATGGGCACCTGGTCTGGCTGTGCAGTTCCTGTCCATGAGCTCAACTGTGCCCTTGAGGGATGCTGGTGAGGTTGGCAAGTGGACCTCAGCCTCCAGCTCTGTTCCTTCCCTCTGCCAGGATCAGACTGGCTCGCCTGCTTGTCTGAGACTGCAAGTGGCCACGCTCCGGTCCTGTCTCACCGTGCACTTGGTGACAAAGTCTTAAGGGAGCCAAGGCTGTGGGTGACAGTCTGAGTGGCCACTTTCCAGGAAGTGGGTGACACGCTGGGGAACTTGAGGGGTCATCAGGGTGGAATTATATTCTCTGCCTGTCACCACTCCAGGCCACCGAGGACACTTTGTTCTCTGGTGCTTCCTCCCCTCCCCAGAACCCAAGGAGTAAGGATGGGGTTCAGGGCGGGTGACAGTTCTGGGGAGAAAGTGCTCGTGGCAGCTAGAGAGAGGGTGGGAAATGAAACCTAAGGGCCGGATTTTAAAGAACTGAAAATAAAGCATTTAGGTTCAGGGTTGGAGAGATAGCACAGCACTAAGGGCACTTGCTTTACATGCAGCCAGGACCTGGGTTTTATCCCTGGCACCCGTTTGGTCCCCTGAGCCCTGCCAGGAGTGATCCCTGAGCACAGAACCAGGAATAAGCCCTGAGTACCATGGGGTGTAGCCCAGAAACCAAAACCCCAAAACCAAAACAAAGCACCCAATTAAGTTTAATGCGAAAGACATATACAAATATTTGCACTGGAATAATGAGACCAATGAAAAGGCTTGAAAAGTAGAAAGCAAAAGGACAGAGAAAATAAGTCAAAGAGCTGAAAGAAATCCGGGTGCCCTTGGCTCGATTCTTGGCACTGCAAGGATCCCTGAGCACCTGCAGGAATGACCCCCAACCCCAAGTCCTCATGTTTATCAGGACCCAGTCCCCAGCCCCAAGTGACAAAAAAATGAATAAAAGGTACTATGAGCCAGAGAGACAGAGACGGCCCGCAGCTGGCCCTGCAGGTAGCTGACCTGGGTTCAGTCCCTGGCACCACTTTCAGTCCCTGAGCACCACCAAGAAGGACTGCTGAGCACAGAACCACGAGCAAGCCGCAAGCACAACTCCCCCCCCAAAAAATTAATAAAAGGAAAAGGAAGTTTGGGGAGATAGCGCAAGGGGCTGAGCTCGTGCTTGGCGCACTGGAGCCCAATGCCAGAGACTGTCGACCCCCAATGAACTCAGAGCAACACAACTCGGGAGTTGCATCCCCTCTATCCTCTCCACGCACCCCGGCTTCCCCGATGTGGTCCCAAACCCCAATACCAAAACGAAAGTGCAGCCAGGGAGGCCAGGGTGTGGGAGGCGGTGCAGGCAGAGGCGGAGGGCGTTGGAGGGAGGAGGGCAGTGACCGGCAGCACCCCTCTCACCCCTGTCACAGCGGCCCAGGGAGATGGCGACAAGGTGATGCGCGGGGCCGAGTGCGAGCCGCACTCCCAGCCCTGGCAGGTGGCGCTCTTTGAGCGGGGCCGCTTCAACTGCGGAGCTTCTCTGATCGCCCCCAGCTGGGTGCTGTCCGCTGCGCACTGCCAGACCCGGTAAGAGCTGGGCCTAGGGACTGGGGCCTGGAGGCAGGGAAGGGGTTCGGGAGCCCCCGGGCTGAGGATGAAAGAGCTGCAGGCAAGGGCTGCGTTTCTGCCCGGGGCGGTCACCAAGCACGTGGGAGCTCTCCACGCCAGGCCAGCGGCACAATTTTGCAGTCCTTGGTTTCTAAGGGCAGGAGGCTGAAGTCACTGCCTCCTGGGCCGTGGGGGCAGGGCTGGATACCCAGATACCCTAAGCTCGCTCTTTGCGTTTTTCTCCCTGCGCCCACCTGCTCAGCTTCATGCGAGTACGCCTGGGCAAGCATAATCTGCGCAAGCGCGAAGGCTCTGAGCAGCTGCGAACAGTGGTGCGGGTCATCCCGCACCCGGGCTATGAACCTCTCAGCCACCGCCACGACCTCATGCTGCTGCGGCTCGCGCAGCCCGCACGCCTCTCCAGACAAGTGAGCCCCGTAACGCTGCCCACGCACTGCCCACGACCCGGAGAGCCGTGCGTGGTGTCCGGCTGGGGCCTGGTGGCCAGCAGCAGACCGGGGACAACAGGAAGCTGCAAGTCTAAAGGTGCGTGGAACGCCGGAGCTGGACCCCACACCTCCGGGAACCCCGGCTGCAGAGTCCTGTGAGGAGGGCGAGAGGGGTCCGGAAGTGCCAAGGTTCACCCATGTCCACTTTTTCCTCCAGTAAGTCTCACAGACACGCTGCACTGTGCCATCATCAGCATCATCAGGGAGCCCACAAGGAATGATCTCTGATCACAGAGCCAGGAATAACCTCTGGGTACTACTGGGTGGGAACCCCAAAACAAATTAAAATAAATTTTAAAAATAAAGCTGCACAATTCTGGGCTTGAGTCATGGGGGAAACTGTGTTGTGAGTCCTGGTTTCCTCTGTCCTCCTTTCGCTGCACCACTCACTGCCACCCTAACCACCCTCCCTGGCTGGATCTGTCCCTGAGTAGGGTGCCAGGAGCTCCAACCTGTCCACTTGGCCTGTGGCTCCAGGAAAACAGCCAGCAATCAAGGGCTGCCACTCTGGACCAGCCAAGTCACAGACAGACTCTCCTTCCTCCCAAGGTACACTGGAGTGATGGGGAGGGATGTCTGTCCAGTGTTGGGAACAGCCCACATCTGGGTGGCAGCAAGATCGAGGCGGGTCCTGTAGTGGGGTGAGAGTTCTTAAAGCCTCAGAGAAGACTCCATGCCCAGCTCCAAGCTTGCCACCTGCTTGACACGGATGGACGTCTCTGCCACCATGTGTGTCTTGCTCCTGTACCTGGCTCTGACCCTGACAGGGACAGGTGAGCAGAAGGGGTGGGGTGGAGGGGACCCTGATTCTCAGCCTCTGCCCTTTCCCCTTTCCTGGAACAGCCAGAATGTCCTCTCCCCCACTCACTCACACCCACAAGGGGTGGACCTCAGGGGAATCTTGATTCTTCCAAAATGCCCCACCACCGCAATGGCACTGGACACTGGGGATTCTGTTTCTCTTCCTTGTCCCGTGTTCTCTGGGTCCCAAATCCTCCTCCACCCAGGGACTCCTCCCCGCCCACTGCCAGCTCTCAGCTGCACCCTCTATTCCCAACAGCTAGTCCCCACAAGTCCTCCCAGATGTCTTTCTGGTTAATAACACCATCTGGGCACCCCATTCTGGGTTGGAGTGCTGTAAAACTTTCCTTCTCCAGAAATTTTGCCCTTGGACCCACATCCAGGAAGGCAAGCACCTACTTGCCCAGCAAAAACACTAGAACCCCAAGCTACATATTTCTTCCTCCATGGGATCCCTCAACTCCTAGTCTTCAGAAATACCCTAGGATCCCAAACTCCTTCGCAGTCCTGGTTTTACTGCCCCCTCTCCCCGGAGGGGAAGCCAGAAGCTGAGACCAAGAAATGGGTCCCCTGTGAGTTTCCCCAGAAAACCCTACTCCCCAGTTTTTCTGGGGTCCCAGAAAAACTCACCGCCACAACCCTTACTCCATTCATCTCCATCCCGCCCTGGCCCAGGGCCACCACTCCTCTCCAGAGCTACCTTGTTCTCTTCGCACATTGGCTCAGAACCTTAAGTTCCCCTATACTCTGAGCCCTATGGCACATTCAGGCCCCAAAGTCTGTCCAAAACTGCGTCCTTTTCAGAACCCTGAAAAGGTTAGGCTGATCATTTGCCAAAACTGAGCAACATCACGCCCCCCCCCCCAATGTTCCCCTTAATTTCCAACAGCTTCTTCCTGCTCTCTTAAATCTCCCCTCTTAGCATCTAGGGTCCCCTGTACTCCAGACCAACACCCAACACTCAACCCAAGACCTGCCTCCTCTCTCCCTCTTCTTGAGGGGTCTGTGCTCACAGCACTGTCTCTCCACCCACCCACAGTTCCAACTGCCCCGTCCATCTGCAGAGACCCCAGCCCCAGTCCTGGGTCCTGATCCTGCACCGCTGACTCAAAAGCTGACTCCCCCACAGGCGCTGTACTCCCTTATCCTCCTGGTGTCCAGATCCCCCGGGTCATTGGAGGTTGGGAGTGTGAGAAACACTCCCAGCCCTGGATGGCGGCTGTGTACTACTTCGAAAAATTTATGTGCGGGGGTGTTCTTGTGCACCCTCAGTGGGTACTCACAGCAGCTCACTGCTATACCAGGTATGTGGGGACTGGGGACCTGAGAGGAGAGAGGACATGCTGACTAGGGCTTCATCTCCTTCAGGTAACTGGTGATTCCTTCTTTGTGACTAGGGTTCCTCTTCCTCTGTCTCACTCTCTCTCTCCCTCTCTCGCTCTCTTCCTTTCCCTCTCTCCTCACTGTCCTCTCTCCTTCTCCCTCTGTTTTGTCTCTTTCCTTCTCCCTCTCCTCTCTCTCCCTTTCTCTCTGCGTCTGTATCTCCTTCCTCTCCTGCCCCGTCTCTCTGGGTCTCTGCCTCACTCCCTCTGCCCCAGCCCTGCTGAGTAACCACCTCTGCTATGAACTGAAGGGACACCCAGAATCCCCCCCCGACGTGTGGGAAGGGGGATGAAGACCAAGTCATATACCTGATGGGTACTCCCCTTTGTCGCAATGTAGATGCATTCAACAACCCCTCCCAGCTTCCCATCCTACACCCAACCCCCTCTGACTCAGTTTCCCCTGCTCTCTCTTGGCTCTGTCCTTCTTAGCTGTCTTGGTCTTCATCCTGCTCCTGCCCTGTGGCTCTCTCCTCCTCACCCCTCCCTCCTGTGGCTCCAGCTCACAGCGTCCCCAGCCCTTTCTTCCCAACTGTCTGACCTCCCTCGTATTCCCTGTGTCTCTGTCCATTTCCTTCACCTTTTCTCTCTCATCTTCCCATGCATACTCTCTTCCTCATAACTCAGCATCTCTCTCTCTTTATCTCTCTCTCCTCCCTTCTTGGTTTTTTTCCTTCGCCTCTCATCCTCAAATCTCCTCTCCCCTCACCCCACCTTTCTTCTCTTTCCACAGCAATTATCACGTCAAGCTGGGACTCCAGGACCATATTTCTCCTGAAAGCACAGTCCAGTCCTTCGAGGTCAATGAAAGCATCGTGCATCCTCACTACAACATGAGTATCCTACCCATCATATACAAAGAGAATAAGACCTGGGAAGAGTTTTATAAGATATTCACGGGAGTGGATTTCAGCCATGACCTCATGCTGCTGCGCCTGGAGAGGCCTGCGAACCTCACGCCCGCAGTACAGGTCATAGACCTGCCCACCCAGGAGCCCCAAGTAGGGAGCATGTGCCATGCCTCTGGCTGGGGCAGCATCAATCCTTATAAGGGTATGATGCCAGGAGAGGGAGAGTACAGCGGGTGGAGGGCGCTGGCCTTACCTGTTTTCATCCCTGGTATTCTATATGATCCCCCAAGCCTGACAGGAGTGGCCCCTGAGCAGAATCAGGAGTAAGCCCTGACACAGCTGAGTACAAACAAAAAATAACAACCAAAAAGCATATACCAGGGTCCCTTGACTAAGTAGGGCAAGGCAAAGATCTGGGGGGGTGGAGGGTGCTGACAGGAGCTGACAGGGTCTAAGGCGGGGTGGAGTGGATGAGAGGGTGTCTCCCAGTGGGAGGCGAGAGGTAAGGGATCTGCTGCCGTGGGGGCTGTGGAGGGTGGTCTGGCTGGGCAGGTAGGGTGCGGGGTGCAGACCCCGGAAACAGGAGTGGCTGGAGTCTCTCTAATTTAATTTCCACAGTTAATTTATCAAGGAAGCTTCAGTGTGTGGATCTCGACCTCCTGCCCAACGCCAACTGTGCCATTGCCCAAATTGCCAAGGTGACTGAGTTCATGCTGTGTGCTGGAGTCATGAAGGGAGGCAAGGACACCTGTGCGGTGAGTCAGAACCCTCCCCCCGCCCCCGCCACCACTAGGGAATCCCAGTCCAGATTGAAGCCCCACCCCGCTCCTCTACCCTCCTTCTCCTTCTAACATATATTATCACCAGTCTGAAAGCTGCAAGCAGGCGGGGGATTCCCCAGCAGGGCTTGGGACGAGTAGCTTGGGGTCCCCCTACAAGGCTGCCACTCCTCTTTTCGATGACATGTCTGTTCCCCAATCCCAAATTACTCCCCACTTTAGCCAGCACTTGCCTCAGCCTGGGTCCTAGAATTTCACACCTGGACAATGATGTCCCCATTGCTGGCAGTAGCCTCTGACCTCTCTCTTTCCCACTCCCCTCTGTGCTGTAGAGCGACTCGGGGGGCCCATTCATCTGTGATGGAGTGCTTCAAGGAATCACATCCTGGGGCTATCACATATGTGCAGCGCGCCGAAGACCTTCCCTCTATGTCAAAATATTGTTATATGTGGACTGGATCCGGGAGACCATTGCGACTTACAGCTAAATGCCCACCTCACCCAGTTCCTTACCCCCAGTAAAATCAAATTCTAAAGTCTGAGTCAAGTTTGGGGCTGTCTCATTTGCAACAAAATCCACATACTGGGACCAGAGAGAAAACCCAGTGTGAAGGCACTTGCCATGCAATCAGCTGAGTCTTTATAACCCTGTCAGGAGTGATCCCTGAGCTCAAAGTCAGAAAGCCCTGAGCACCACCAGATATATGCTTCCCCACTCCCCAAAATATATCCAGATATGGGGGTCTGTGTGCTGGGGACCCACCTACCCAAAACATTTCCACCGCCACCTGGGCTGGGGCTCAAAGCTCTGAAAAGTATGCAGCTGCAGCGGCTTAGCACCTGGCAGGGAGTACGAGCCCACCCCAGCCTGCACCTCAGGGTGTCACCCAAGAGCCAAAAACAAAACACAAGAAAACCACGTAAAACAAAAATTTAAAGAACTCTGCAGTCCTGTTCACCAGGGGCTTGTCCATAGTCACCCAAAGCCCACGACCCGAAGGGCAAAGCAGCACACGCTGTACTCAGCCTCGCCAAGTGGAGAGAAGAGACGCGCGCTAACAGGAGGACAGCAGGAGCAGAAGGCAGTGGCGCGCACTGGTTTTTGTGACACAGAAGCCAAGAAAGAGGCAGAGGGAAGTTCTCGCAGTCACGCCTGCCCGGGGCGGGGCGTCTTCCGCGCAGAAGCAGGTCTATCCCCAAGGCCGGGCAGTGTAGGGTCACTGCAGGCAAGACTGAACAGCCAGTGGGGTGACTGGATCTGGGTCGCGGAGGGCGCAGCTGAGGCATGAGCAGTTCCAAGGGAGCCTCCAACAGACCCAAGAAAGAGAGGCTGGGGCGTGGCCTGACACGGCCACCAGGGGCGGGGCCTGAGAAAATCCAGGCGAGGCCTTGCCCACCTGAGAGGTAGGGGGGACCTGAGAGATGCTGGCGGAAGCCACGCCCACAGCCACCCGAGGCGGGGCTTGAGACAGGCTGGGAGGGGCCACGCCCACCAGCTCCAGGCCCGCCTGAGGGAAGGCGGGGCTTGGAAGTACCCAGAATGCCCGCAGGAGTCCGACAGGTGGCAGGAACAGAGGGCTGGGGACCCGCTGGACAGACAGGGAATGTCTTCGGTCTGGTGAGGGCAAACTACAGGGTGTGAAGCACCACAAAAAGTCTCCTTTGGACTTGCTGGTCACACATGGGGTGGACCGCGGTCCCTCTACGTGGTTACCAGGGTCCGGACAAGCCCCGGTGCAGTTCCCTAGGGGAGCCTACAGAGGAGACCTAGAGGGTGAGTGTACTGGTCCCACACAGGATTCATGGATCGGCTTCTGCGTGCAGTCTGGAATCGCTCAAGTTGCTCTGCATCGTGGCCGTGCCCTTGCGTGGACGGCCTTCTTTTGCCGAACCTGCCTGAGTGATTTAAGTAGTTGAGAGTTCCTAGAAGGCGGAGCGTGCTGCCCTGGACAGCGGCCCCAGCCCGCTAAAGCCTCTGATCCGCCCCACCTCCTCTCAGGCCCCCTCCACCTGCTGGACGGCTTCCTTGCCTGGCCCCACCCTTGACCGGCGCACCTGTTCTGCAGGCTGCCACCAAGGAAGGGTTGGATGCCTCTGACTTTCAGCTTAGCGTTTTACAGTTGATTACAAAGAGCGTCTGGCTGAGGAAAATCAAAAACCCTGCACCGGGAGGAGCCAGAGACCAACACGAGGCTAGATAGAGACACTGGGACCCCAGAAAAAGATTAAGAGAAGGAACATCGTCGTCCATATTCAATGCGCTCTCGCGCTCACAAACATACACACGCGCCCGCGCGCGCGCACACGCACGCACGCACGTACGGCAGAAAGCCACCTGCTCTCCCGATTGAGAAAGAAAGAAGAGTTGAGAGGATACAAGGAGTGGAGCAGGGATCTGAACAGACATTTACAAACAGACCCAGCAGAGAGAGACACTGAAAATCTGAGACACACCACCCCAAAGTCACAGAGATCCAAGGAGAGAGGCTGGGACTGGGGAGGACTCCCGTTCACCCATGCTGGCACTTACAGATACCAAAGCCGAGGACACTGGAGTTCAGGTCAATTTTTTTATTATTATTATTTTATTGTATGGCCACACCCATGGATGCTCAGGGGTTATTCCTGGCCCGGTGCTCAGGAATCACTCCTGGCTGGCACAATATGAGACGGGAGGATCTAACCTAGGTCTGCAGCATGTCAGGCAAGCACCCTACCAGCTGCGCTATTGCTCCACCCAAGATCAGTCCTTCTCTGGCTTTGGAAGACCATTGGGAATGAGATGCAAGGAGGACTAGTGAGCTCAGGGCCAGAACCAGGAACAGGAAGCCCAAACTCATGAGGATGAGAACTGGGTGGAGGAAGAAAATGCCTCAGGATCATCCCCAGACACTTTCCAAGGTCACCTCCAAATTCGTCCTAGTGATATTGGTGAACAATTCAAAAGATGTCTCACTTCCTGAAGTTTGACTACAGATATCTTAAAATAGCTCATACTCTCACTCACAATCAACCTGAGTCTCTCATGGTCAACTCCCCACTGGCCCTCAAGGCATCCCATTTACCTCTGTTTATCCCAAAGTAAATGTCCAGCTACCTTCACAATCAAATTCACCCCTACCCTACCCCAAAGTTCACCTCACAGATGACCCTTGATTCACCTAAATTCACTTCATCCAGGTCACATAATAGAACCATGTGTTTCCCCAAGACACCCTAATAGACACCCCTAAAGTCACACTTTCCTATTACCAAGAAAAATTTTCTCAGAAATTCATATTAATAGTATCGCTGACACAAACTCTCAAGGTTACTCAAGGTATTTGTTCTATAACTTTGATCCAACGTTATCTTTTCTGTTATGACTCTTTTGCTCACCCCCAAGTTCCTGGTGACTACATTCACATTCCAGGAATTCGGGCTGCTTTGTATGCAGCCTACCCAAGTTTGATTCCTCACACCCCACATGGTCGTCACTGTGACACCTTGGGGGCGAGCCCACCAAGAATGATCCCTGAGTGCAGAACCAAGAGTAAGCCCTGAGCATCCCCAGTTGTGGTCCCCAAGCCCCAAAGAATTAAAGCCTAAAACTAAAAATTATATCTACACTTTTAAAACCTTTTTGCTATTTTGTTTGCTGTGAGGTTAGTTTTTTCACTTGTGTTTTTTTAATGCTATTAGCCACATCCAACTGTGCTCAAAACCAATAGAGGCATGTCTGGTAGTGCCATCAGGTTTAAGGATCGAGCCTGGGGTCTCTCTCACACACACAAGACATGTGTTGTCCCACTTGAGCTATTTAATTGCTTGCTCCAGGCTCTGTACTTAGAAATCATTCCTTGCTGCCTCAGGGAAACCATACATGGTACCAGACTTGGAACTCAGGTTGATACCTGAAAGCAAAGGTCCTTCCCACCGTACTTCACTCCAGCCCTGTAAACTTGAATTCTAAATTGTTTGAGAACCTCTACTTACAGACCATCTTAGGGCCTATGAATATCAGATCTCGTCAGATACTCCAGAGGATTGTGGGACTATAACTCTGGATGACCCAACCATATATTGTGGGAAAACTGAGGATCTGTGGTTGTGGAATAGCTGGAAAGGATCTAGGTGCATAGAGGTCATTGTTCACACACATTATCTGTCAAGAGATCATCGACCAAGGAGCCCCAGATTGACCAGTGGTCTAGACAGTCCCACTCATGCAGCACCTACCATTGATGTGACAGCTTGCCAGACATGGGGAGAGGCCATGATTTTACTGTTCCTGTGTGACCAGAAGTCAGTCCCTCCCACTTGTATCTCCTTTTGAGGGAACAAGCCCCAAAAGACTCTAGAAGATTTCTCAGTTCCTCTTCGGTTCTGACACACAAGAATACACTGATTTCCAGAAGGCATAATTCAGATTTTAGACCTCAGAGTACACAATCAAAACAGATGACACAGAATAGACTTCAGTCTCCCAGACTCTGAATTCCTTTACTAGATAGATCCAACACTGGAGGAATCTCAGACCACAGGCCCAGGAAGTCTCATAAGAGCACAGGGCAAATTTGGAAATCCCAGACTTCTCACTCTGAAACAACCTACCAGACCTCAGAATCTTGAATCTAGGCTGCAAAACTCAAAATTCAAAACCACTTGTATTCCAAGCCCCAGGTTTCACCACAGCAGGTGAAAAGGTTTCAACATGGGCTGGAGCAATAGTACAGTGGGTTGGGTGTTTGTCTTGCACGCGGCCGACCCAGGTTCGATTCCCAGCATCCCATATGGTCCCCTGAGCACCACCAGGAGTAATTCCTGAGTGAAAAGTGAGGAGTAACCCCTGTGCATCGCCAGGTGTGACCCAAAAAGGAAAAAAAAAAGAAAGAAAGAAAAGGTTTCAACTTCAGGTTTCGATCTCAAGCACCTGGCCCTAAACTCTTAGTCTAGCATGAAAGGGCCCAATTCTAGATGAAAATCAAGGTCTAGACTCCAAGTGTAAGATCTGTCGCTCAAAGACCAGACTCCGAATTCCAAACATGAACTCCAGAACTCAGACTCCAGATCCTATGGATTTTAGGTCACTCTCTGAACGGTGGGAAGCAGAATTAGAGATGCAGAACCCTAGACTCAGATAAGAGTTCTGGGTCCAACATCAAGTGGTATGGATCACTCAGGATCTAGAATTGCTGATGAGATCAGAATCCACTCTTGATAATCAGAATCAGAACCCTCTATTAGACACTGATGTGTGACTCTAGAACCAAGTAACTTCGCTCCAGACACCAAATTCTAAAATTTTAGCTCCATCAATATTTTGCTTAACTCTGCCTCTATCACCATGACAGGGAATTACAAAATTACAATACAAAAGTTTTCAAACCAGAGGGCTGGAGTGATAGCACAGCGGGTAGGACGTTTGCCCAGATTAAATTCCCAGCATACCATATGGTCCCCTGAACACTGCCAGGAGTAATTCCTGAGTGCATGAGCCAGGAGTAAC